ACACCACTATTGATGATCTCCAAAAACATATGCTTAAATTTAATCCAGTCCCTTAAGTGGACACTTTTTTTTTTTTTAAATTTCTTTTCCCTAATGTCATTGTGGCTCCACAACTACTGGGCAGATTGGTATTTTAGATTTTTACTTATCGTTCCATCAAGAGAACAAATTCATTGAAGGATCATGTAGTTGGTTAAGGAAGCAAAGGAACATTTTTCAGTTGTGTTATGCTTCTGTTGTAAGGGACAAGTGACTAATAAAGGAGCATTTACCTCATCTTCCTTTTCAGTTTTCATCATAGGAATTTTATGAAAAGTTGTGTCAATAATAAAGATGGGGAAAATTACAGGGAAGAGTTTTCAACTTTCCTGAAATTGCTTTTCTGTACCTTTTTCTATAACTTAAATTTTCTCTACGCAGGCAATTTTGCATGTGTGCAGCAATGCTTTAGAATGAATTTTTGCAATAGCTATTCTGAATTTTCAACTCTCATCCTTCTTGATGAATCATAAATGTTTTGTTACGGGACTGTCCACACTTACTTTTCACATATCTCCCACTCCAAATTATTACATTTGGTAATGTCCTTTTGGGTTTTTCTAGAACTATTCCAATTCATGATTTCATACCACCTGATGCTCTCTGTATCTGTAAGATAGAATTCTCCCCATCGCCTTTCCTCTTGGTGCTTGCTCGATGAAGGACATTTGCCTTTGTAGTGACTGTTATATAAATATTCCAAACTGTTTATTTTTCCTGCTAGCCAGGATTATTGCAGTAGTTGTGAGGGAGTTTGCAGACCTGCCTGTTGCTGAGATGAGCCACAGCTCTGTGGTCCTGCTCCCCTGCACTGGCTGGAGGTGCCTGCCCTGTCTGACCAGTTCATGGCAGTTGTGAACCTTTGTCATTCCAGCTTCGACATTTCTCTCTCAGCTCTCTAGTATTTCTTTACCAGTTTATTTAAGCCTCCACAATGTGACAGAGCTGTTCACTCCCTGGTGTGGCTGCGCTGAGCAGACAATGAATTGTTCATTTGTACGTGACTGAGGCTTGCAGGGGGCTCTGAGCTCTCTGGGTGCCTGGTCTGTGTAACCTCAGTGGCAGCGTGCTCAGCTTGCACACTGCAGCTTTGCTGCCACAAGAATCAACACCTGGGGCTTGCCAGTCTCTGTAGAAAGAACAGGGAGAGCTGGAGGTCCAGGCTTCCCAGTCCTGCCTGGAGAATGACAGGACAAGGACGGGCTCCTGTGTCCAGCAGTCCCTGTTGTGACCCAGCCTGGCTGTTCCATCAGAGCCCAGCAAAACAGCAGCTGTGGCTTTCCCCACACAGACATGGCAGGAAGGAAGTCCTCTGTGTTCCCAGCAGCCTTCTGGCCTGCACACATGCCTGCCTTGTCTTCCTCCAGGGCTGATCTAGCTGCCAGCTTTGCAAACTGCTCAGAAAGGGTCACATTTTTGGATTTGCCCAGATTTTGCTGTCTCCATTTTTGGAAACACTAATTGAGAAATGTTTATAACTATCTGAAAGTTCTTAAAAATTTGGAATGCCAGAAATTCACCTCCTAGTGATGGAAGAGCTGGGTGCCCTAAAATCTGAGAGCTTCATCTGGGGCTTGTTCCTCCCTGCCCACGCTGCAGGGGTACAGCGTGTTCTGGAGCTTTGCAGGAACAGCACTTCTGTAATCAGCACACGATGAAGAGATGATTAAGCCTCGAGAGGTTATAAGAGTTATGTTGGAAATGCAGAAAATATATGGTGAATATAAGATTGTATTTGTGGACACCAAGAGTTTTTCAGGGCAATCAATTTTTGATTTACAGTTAAGACATTGGGCAGCGACTGACAGCAGAACCTTCAGCTTTCAGCATCTGTCAGGAAAGTACCTCATGTTTTTAAATTGATTTGTGTAATGGGATTTGTTGTGACCTTACAGAAGCAGTATAGGAAAAGTCCTCAAAAGTAAAGCCTTTGCTTCCTCAGAACCTGTTCCATGTGTGAGCACTGCACTGATCCCAGTCTCCTGGGAAACGGGGGAGGCACTTCCACAGCGAGTGAGTGAAACTCTGGCTGTGCTTTGTCTTTCTGTCCCAAGGTTTTACTGCAGTGCTCAGTAACTAAGGAGGCAAACTGCATGTGAAGAGTGTAATTTCAGAGGCAGCACAAGGCTTTTGCCCTGGAGTCTTTAGCAAAGAGATCTTCTTCCTTTGTATTTCTCACTGAGACTGTTTTGACAGAAGGATAGCTGACTCTTTATATTTTCTCTGTGTTTAACAACATGTGTTTTATGTGCTTACATTGCAAAACTATAAATCCCAGAATAAACAGATGACAAATTCCAGAGTGTGTTTTTAGTTGTCTGGTTGCAGCAGTGTCTGTACCCACGGAGAGAGCAACACCTCCCATTCCCTGAGCTGTGAGCATCCTCTGCGAGGGGAAGAGTCCTCCCTTCCTCCCTTCCTCCCTTCCTTCCCTCCCCACAGACAACTGCAGATGTCAGCCAGTGAGGCTGGGCTGTATTGATTTTGGTAATTGTCTGCTGTAGATCAGAAAAGCTAAAATGTCCTGAGGGTACAGCAAGCAGGTTTGTGAGGTTTTTTCCCACTGTGAGCCTACCCAAAGGACAGATTTTTGTTGTTGCTCTCCATACAATGAAAGATTGTCTCTGAAGTGCTGCATCAAAGCCCATCATTTAGAAAACTCTGATCTTATGTTGAGGGCTGCAGGCTTGAGCAGTACCCCAGCACCTTCTTGACTCTTTCAAATTTAATTACCCCCAGTGCCAGGTAGCCATCCATGTTTAATTTATGGATTGAATTTGTGACATCGCCTACCAGATGTTTAGTGATTTTCTGCATATTAAATTATCCATTTAAAGGAAAGGGGAAACCAGATTTTGAGCATTGGTGGAGCTAATCTGACTTCTAAACTGAAGCTTGCACCAAATGAATTTTAGGGAAGAGGAGAAAAGCAAGAGAACTGATGGCCCAACTATTTTTTTTAATGATTGCATGAACCACCTCTACTCTGAGTTAACCACTTCACTAAATTTCAATTAGATGACTTGAATGGTGACTGTTGGGATAAATATCCTTGAAGGAAAGCAATAAAGAACAGTAATTAGTGACAGGAATTTCCCTTTTTCATGACAGCAGACAAAATCCAACAACTTAATTCTCTCCTGGTATTCCTCTTGGTTTAATGTGAGATAGACACACATTTCTTCAGTGCCACATTTTTGGAATCTGATTTAGAGCTCTGAAAAAGTTAGGATTCTGTTGACTGATTATTTATGAATAAATTTTGAATTATGATATGCACGAAAAGTTGTTGAGGCTTTTTTCTGTTAGTAGTCAGAATGTCATATGTCTAAGTCCTTCTCCATTCTGTGAGTATAAACTAAAAGCTTTATCAACATAAACGGATTTAAGCTTAGTAGCAAGCGTGACTCCAAAACTTCATAGCAACTTCATAGAATTCACAACTGGTGCATCCTGATATAATGTAATTGAAGCTGATGCTGTTGTACCTGTTTGTGCCACAGTACATTTATTTTTATAGCTGCCTTTCCATGGAGACAGGCCCCAACTGTTGGTGGGCAGTGTTGTGCCAAGCTGTGCCAGCTGCAGCCCATCAGATGGTTTCAGCAGTGCTGCAGGTGATGCTCTGTGCCTCTGCAGAGGCTCAGCAGGCAGAGCTGCCCGTGCCTGGGGCTGCACAGCCCCGGGGAGGTGCGGGGAGCCTCCCACGCCACCCAGCAAAGCCAAGTGGGTGGCCCTGTCCCTCCTGCTCCTCTGACTTCCTCTGGGAAGCAGGGTGTTTTCCTGGGAATGGGGTGGCTTTGCTTTTGTGTGTCACTCAGGTGAGGCTGGAGCTGGGGCCCCAACAGCTTTTTCCCCTTGATGTCGTAGGCTGCTGCTCTTCTGCAAGTAGTAAACATCTTAAAAGGTTTTGGCTGCAGATGAGGGCAGTAATGCAAAATAAAGCTTTATCTGTTTATTTTTGAAGTATGCATATGGATTTCTGGCAGTGTAAGAATGCCTTTTCTTTGACTGGGATCTGCTGCTGTCAAGTGCTTGTCCTTCCAAATGGCCTCCTCTTCTTTATGTGCATTTTCACTGCCTTCATTTGTGAACATTCATGCACCTGCCTTCTGACTTGCTTTACAGTAACTTGTTTCTGAGAAGGTATCCCTGGAGGACATTGCTTCTTTTCCTTTCTTTACTGGATTTGTTTTCCACTCCTGTTCTGTTCCCTGTATTTTTTAGAGAATGGGATTATCTTATTCTTCCATTTTTAGGTAGATGGGGTAAAAGGCTTAAACTTTTTCACAAGTTCCTTTCTTCCTGCTGTGCTCCAGATACACAAATAGTATGTTTGGTACTGTGAATCATAAAGAAATATTTTCTATCATATTTCAGTGGGATTTAGGTAGCTCTATGAGATATGCTCCAGCATATCAAGGACGTTGACATACTCGAGCATACCAAGGACATTTTCTTATTGAGGACTTAACCTGCACTTTCACTGTTTATTTTTGGAAAGAGAAGTAAAACAAGGCTGTGTATGTAAAACTGGTAAACATTTTCAATCTCCTTCAGTATTTGAAATATACTAATTTTCTATTTTGTTTCAATTCTAAGTTCTCTGTTGTAATTTCTGCTGGTTTTGGAGACCATTTTTCATCTCAAGATATTTATTATCCATACCAAGAGCAAAGATACAAAGATATCAGGGCAGGACATTTTGTAGATTGGTTTCTCCTGCTCAGTATTTTTTAACAGCATCCCTTAAAATAGAAATGCAAAACTATGTGTCCTACTTTCCCCTCACTAAAATAGATGCCTTTTGTTAATTTTAGATACAGCAGAGCAGGATATGTAATTAATGATATCAAAGAATCCATATGATATTCAACAGGGTCCTAACATCAAGGACAAAAGAAGTCTGACAACAGCTGTCCCTAATGATTTGGTTTGTAAAATGTTTTCTTTTATTTCAGGAAGTTGGATGCTTTCATCTATGATGCAGCAGTGCTGAATTACAAGGCTGGAAGAGATGAAGGCTGCAAACTTGTCACCATAGGCAGTGGGTACATCTTTGCCACTACTGGCTATGGGATTGCTCTCCAGAAAGGATCACCTTGGAAGAGACAAATTGATCTCGCCCTCCTTCAGTTTGTGGGAGACGGTAGGGACCAAGCTTTTCTCCTTTCTTTTATTCCTCTGTGTATGCACAGTTAATTCAGTTTTAATAGCTCTGAGCCTGCTAGTACCATTCTCTTGAAGTCTTTAAAAAAAAAAAAAAAAAAAAGGTAAAACAAAGTAAAATTATTTCTTGGTGCTGAGACAGGATTTCTCTTCCACTCACCTAACTCACCTCACCTCCAAGGGCATCGGCCTCTATTTTCAGGAAGTGTTTTCATATACATCACAAAGTAAAGCTGGCCTAAGTGTTAGAGAGCATTTATCCATTTATTTATTTCCTTTGTTTTTGTCTCTGAGCAGTTCCTTAGTAGATGAGTTATCTTTCAGCATGATTGTTCTTCTCTTAAAAAGTGTTTAGCTCAGTTCTGAACTGATGTGAGTGATCCATAATCTAGGATGGTTTCATTCAAACTTCTGGTGAAAGAATGCCTATGAAATTGAATGAGGGTGACTCATTTCATAGTACTTCAAACAAATATTTTTTATTCTGACATGAAATAGAAGAACTGTAGGTCCTCTTGGCACTTCTGCCCTGCGGTAGAAAACTTGCTGCACATCTTTGATATATTTGAAAACAGCAATGATGACTCAGTCTCCAGAGAGAGTATGAACTCCTTTTTGATTGTAGAAAGCTTCGTGTTTCACCTGTGAAAGCAAATAGAAATATGGTAATTAAAAATTTTCTGTGGTGTGACTGATGAAATCCCCTATCAGATTGGAATGTGGTGTGTATTACATAATCTTTATTTTGTTTCTTTACATGGATATGTATGTTGACTTTGCATTTCTCTATCAGTGAACGAGAGAGCTTTGTCAAAAGATAAATATGGGTTTAATGTCACCAGTAACAAGCAATTGAGGGTAAGACTGGTGAATGTCAGTGTAATAGCAATGGCAGAGAGCAAGACTTAGCATAGTGGCCTCCTGTTCCATAAACCACAGGACATTAATTTTCATGGGGCAGAAATGAGTGTGTAAGTCTTCCAGCACCTGGATTTTACTCCTATAATAACACTAAAGAACCAGAAGAGGTGTCATCATCACGACTGATGCATTTTGTCTGGTGTATATATGGAAATAATAGTGTCATAGTGTCATCATGTCCATCTGTTGGGTTTAGAGAGGCTGTGGAAGAAACCTCTCTAACTTGGGTGAAGGAATGATCAGCAATGGTTGCCTTTCAAACATTCACATATTCTTGAATATTATTTTCTGTTTGTGTAATACTGTTAAGAATTATTAGGTGCTATAATTCGGAGCCATTTTTAAATGAGGAATTTGAATCAGAGAAGTTGAATTATTGGTTCCATACTAAAGAAGAAAAATCTTCTGTAGCCTGAGGGAGGATCTGAGTTGTCTTTCTCAGTGTGGGCTAACCCCTCTAGATGTAGCCAGAGCAACACTTGGCTTTTCATTCCTTTCACTTTGCATTTCTTTCATGCTTACTACTTCAGCATTTTTGATACTTCTCATCCAACACAAAAAATTAAATCACAGAGAAAGAAAATAAATGAAATAGAAGGCAAAGCACTTGAAGCTACTTAAGAAAAATCTCATCAAAATACTAAAGGTATTGCATTTTTATGATTCGCCTTGACTCTGAATATCAGGTACAAAACATTGGTGGGAGCAAAGTGTGAAAAGTCTTACCCTGTGTTTACACTTTGACCTGTGGACTTCCGTAGCATACAAATGCTTATATCTTTCACCCATTTTTAGTTGCCTAAAAGAATACAAATGAATTGTCCACAAAACTCAATATTAAAACTTACAGAATAGCAATAGATAAAGGGAACACCCAGGAGAATAAAACCTCTTTATGAAATGTCTGCACCCTGGCTCATCTTGCCCAGAAGATAAGCAAACATGGTGAATACCCAAACCATGGGAATTGTCATTACATTTATGGCATTTTTTCATTACCATTAGAAGTTAATCTGAACAACCCAGGAATGCTAAAACATTACTTTTTTCATGTGAAGTACCCCTAAATTTGTTCAGAAAATGATGTGGGCTCTAGTAAAGAGAATAGCAGTGGGACATATAGGATGTGTAGAAATTCTTGTAGGTATGAATCTTTTAGTCCCAGAACTATTTGATACCTTCATTTTCATGAAAAGCAAACCCCCAACTGCCACTAACTTTCCACCAAATGTGGGGAGAAAAAAGAAAAAAAAATCAACAAAAAAGCCCTAATAATGAAATTACTTCTACTGAGTTACAAAGTACATTGCAGGTGAACTGGAACTAAACACCAAGAAATTAAATGTAAAGAGTAATTGCCTGGAACTAGCTCGACCTGATTTTGTAATCCATGTCTAACTTCAGTAGTTCGATGGATAATCTTTTTAGCTGTGAACTTACATAACTCTGTTTTGGTGAACTAGAAGGGATGAACCCAGAGTTCAGACCAACATCACTTTGCTGTATCACTAAAAATCTCTTTGAAGTTCTCCAGACTAAAAGCAAGTATGGTTGGGGGGAAAGTTTCATCCTAAGAGAGTACTCCTGGGAAAGCCTCAGTGGAGCCTGAACGAGGTTGTTTAAATAAATAGGCAAACACAAATGAAGGCAGAAATCTTATTTTGTGTGTATCGCTTCTGTAGAATATATTATTCTCAAAGAGTAAGCCTGTAAAACAGCAGAGCCCCAAGTAGGATTGAATTATTCTTCAGTGTAATAGGGCATTCATCAGGGTATGGAATAATTTCAGTGAATGATTGTAAACCTAATGAGTTCCATAACTATAAGAAGAAAACATTCTAATGAGTTCAACAAACACAGTTTCTTTATATGAATAATATGTTAATAAGAGGAAAAACCTTTTTGGATTATACTATATACTTAGATAAGACCAAGTAATTTGTGTAAAAGTATATCTGATTGCACATGCAAAAAGCCATGATCTCATTTCTTTTTTACATTTACCCAGTACTGAAATGGCCTTTTGAAATGTATTTTAGAGCTTCCAATTTCCTCTGCATGTGTCTTTCTCCTGTGATTTTTCTCATTTGATTTTTTCCTTGCTGCTTCTCTATCATTCTCCCATCTAAGCTAGTTCACTTACACATTGAAATGAATTTTTTGTGCAGTGGATAGGAACCTCTTCCCTCTTCCTTGCTGATGTAAAACATCCAACTGAAGAATAAATTGCTTGTTCATGCAGGGGCATCTTTTCATACTCCTCAAAGCATGATGCTGTTTCTGCATTAAAGTCAATGGCTTTGAACCTCTTTTTAATCTTGTTGGCACTGGAAGAAGAGTTAACTAAATATAGAGGAATGTAGGCTCCTGTTAAGGATAACTTCAAGCTCTCACTGGTGGTTTAGCTATATGTTTCTACATGAATACTGTTCCCATCCTGAGGATAGCTCTACTGGGTGGACCAATTACACTGACAATTATCAATCATACTGTGAGAGCAGCTCTGAAGTCTCAGTGTAAGAAAGCAGGCTACAAGATGCCAAATTTGTTACACTAACAAGGAGGAAAAGAGACAGAGGAAAGGAGAATGGGAATGAGTTGCTGAGGAGTTTAAAGAATAGCTACTTAATTGTCTCAAAAGTATAGTTGTGCTCAAAAGGTTTCATCCCTTGGTCTGTGCAAGTTCACATATGTAGCCCTGCTTATGAGGAGTTGAGATGAATGTTAGTTGTTAGTGTAAGATTAATTGCTTTGGAACTCTGAATCTTTCTAACAGAAAGAGTTAGGAGTTCCTTTTTCTCATATAAGGGATATGAGTGAAGCGCATTGCTAGTGAATTTCTGGCTTTGTTCATCTTGCTATCTGTACAGCACATCTCATTATCTGCAAAAGCTTTGAGTTGATGATTAGCATCTGCAGCTTTGTTTAAGATAGTTGATCATTGGGATGATTCTCTAAAGCCCAGTGGTGGTTGTGCTGCTTTTTTTGTCTTGCTGCAGTCACAAGATGAAACTTCCATTGTTTTTTAACAAAGAAGTAAAAATACGTCTACTGAGACACAGAATCTCAATCTTCTGTTGAGACATAGAAGCACCCAGGAGTTCAGAAGCAACTAAAATGATACGGCTGCTAAGAAACAGCACCATCATTTTGTTTGGATCCTCCACCCACGGCCCCAGGAATGTGTCAGAACAGAAACGCCGCGCGCTGAGGAATCGCATGATCCCTGCTGTGATTTCTGTTCTGAACCTCTGTAAGCAGCTGGGCAGGCTGACGTCCCCACAGCAGCGTGGTACCTGGCAGCTGTCACTGCTGTGTGCACGGAGGGGGTGAGGTGCCAGCGGTGGGAGAGGGCTTGGGCACTGCCTGCGGCGTGCTGCAGCTCCGGACACGGCATTTGGGAACGCACCCTGCTCCTCCAGGAACAGCAGGGACTGTAGGCAGCTCTCTGCTGGCCTGGGTGTTGCTGATACTCCTCTGGCTTGGGCTGCACGTGCCATTTAAAGAGTGGTACTTTTTCTAAAAATATCCCACTAAGTTATTTGGGAGGCATTGTTTCTGAAAACCATAGCACTCAGTCTTTGGGATTTGGTGTAAAACCACTGGTGCATAGAAAGTGAGGAGAATTTAGCTTTCTCTTTCTCCCTTTTTCTTTCAGTTTTTCTCCCATCTCTCTTTGAGAAGATGAGATTATTGAACTACAAATGACAAAGCTGCTTCAGAATTAAGATAGTAAGAGGGGTTCTGAGTGTGAATGGGATGAAGAGAGAGACAGCAAGGAGCCTTTAGCTATGAGGGCTGCAGCAGAATAAAGGGATAAATCACTGATAGCAGCAGAAATGGTTGGATACCAGGAATGGAAAAAGCTGGGCAAAGAGAGCAGTTTTGGGTAGGAATGTTGAATACCAGCCAGCTGGCCAGGTTATGCATCTACTTGTCTGAGGTATTTGTAATGTATTGCACTACCTGCAGCTTAAGAGCTCAGTTCAAAAGACATGTGGGAAGAGATCTCCTGGAAGAGGGCAGATGGTGTAGCTCTATTAAGCCCTTAACCCTTGA